CCTGATAAGTATAAGAGTGAAACACAGAATGGGTAATGGTAGAAAGGAATATGAAAGATTACAGAGACTGAATACATCTGCGCTGGCCATTGACAACGATTTTGAGCCATGACACCTACTGTCTCCAGCCATTGATTCCTAGAGTCCCGAGGGCCCCAACCCGGGAGTCTGCATCTCCCTACCTGACTCAGTTTAACTGTCAAGGATTTCATGGATTGATGCCATGTTTTTGTTTGGCCACCACTTACCCTTTTCCAACCTGCACATATATCAGCTAGTAATGCCTGTCGGGGGAGGCGATGGTTAGGCCTAAGCAGCACGTGACCTAGCCATTTCTCAATCTATGTAACTTTATAGCCTCGTCGATTGATTTTCCCTCTTTGCCCAACACTACGCCTAACGTCAACATTACTTACCTTATTAAACCACCTAACGTGAGACAGGGATCGCAGACATCTATGATCGAAAGCAGTCAACCTTTTCATGTCTTCAACGCGTATTGGCCATGTTTCAGAGCCATAGAGAAGGACGAAGCGAACTGCTGAGCAGTACACACGTCCCTTGGTTGATAGCCGAATATCACGCCTACGCCAGAGGTGGTGTAAGTCAGCGAAAGCAGCTCGAGCTTTTTGGATCCGTGCTGAGATTTCGTCGCCAATCAGTCCGTTGGTGCTAATACAACTTCCCAAATAGGTGAAGTGGTCAACGTGCTCTATCGCTTCACTCCCTGTCACTAGGGAATGAAGTGATAGAACACAAGGAGTGGATGCATCTCCGCCACTGAGAACGATTTTGAGCCATATCAACAATTGTTTCCAACCATTGGTTTTTACCGTCCCGAGAAACCCAACCAGGAAGTCTACATCTTCCTACGTAGCTTAAACTAACTGTTGTAGATTTCATTGACTGATGAAGCAGTGTTTTTCTTTGACCGCCGCTAGCTCCTTTCCAGCCTGACCCTATATCAGCTAACATTGCTCGTCGAGGAAGGCGATGACTAGGCATACGTAACACATGTCCTAACCATCTTAGTCTTTGCAACTTCACAACTTCGATTGATTTCTCCTCCTTACCTAGCACTCGACACCTAACCTCAATATTGCTCACCTTATTATACCACCTAACACACACGGGAGATAGAACGCAGGCACCTATGATCAAAGACAGCTAGTCTTTTCATGTCTTCCACTGTCAATGGAGATCAGAGATCAACCCGTTGGGGCTGTTTGTACTTCTCAAATAAGTGAAGCGGTCAACGTGCTCTACCACTTCACTCCCTACCATTAATCTTGGAGTCAGTGTGGTCCAGTCCTATAACATCATCTTGCATTTGGCGGGAGCGAATCGCATGCCAAACATTCGTAGATTTTAGCTCAAGGTGTTTAGAAGACTCCACATTTTGTCAGAGTCCTCGCCTAGAAGGACTATATCATCTGCATATTCTAAGTCAACGAGGTCATACCCTGGTAGCAAGTCAATTACCTACTATTCCATCTCCATCTAGAATCTGTTCTGTTCCATCTACCATAATGCTGTTTCTACCATCATTCTATTTACACGTTTTTACTGCTGATTGTAATATGATACCAATAAATTTATATCAATCTGAATAGAAAGGAAATATATCTTGTTTTGGATTAAGTAGGATTGGCATCTGTCATTTATTCATACTTGCGACTTCTTGTATATTTTACCAAACCTCATTGACCGATATTCTTGGCTATATAGACCCTCAGAGCTCTGATGCTTTTAGTGTCGCTCTGAATTTGTTCGCTAAGCGGTAGTTAGCAGCATAGTGCTAAACGCGTGTCTCATCTTATATGAAGCTCATCTGTCATCCATTGTAATTCAGTAGCTTAGTGGATAATGCTTTTGTGTTGAACACAGTGATCTCTATTCTCAAGTATCATATACAAAAAATGCTCATCTCGCATTCTACTGCTCTAGCCGCCGTCTAACAATTAATATCAAGGTTTACATCTGTTATTCAACAGATGCTTTGACTAGTTAAACGTCTCCTGTGTAACATTTACCAGCCTATATCATCTCTAGCGTGGATGCAATATCTGACTATCGATCAAAAGACGTGTGTACTGCTCGGCAATCCACCCTCTCTTCCTTTATAACTGAGGCGTGGCCACTCAAAGTAGAAGATATATGAAAAGACTAGCTATTTTTAACTACAGATTTTGCCCTCTTATCTTTCGTGTTAAATGGTGTAATATGATGAGAATTATTGAAGTTAAGCGTAGAATATTTAGGTGAGGAAAGGAAGTCGGTCGATGATGCTATCAAGCTACATCGATTAAGATAGCTAGGATACGTGTTGTGCATGCTAGGACATCATCTTCCTTGTTCATAAATATTAGCTTGCATAATATTAGTTTGGAAAAGAGTTGAAGGAAGTCAAAAGCTGGGATCAGTTCATGAAGTCTTTGATTGTTGGTTTGAGCGATCTAGCGACGTGTACACTGCCTGGTTGGGGGGGGGGTATTTGGGATGCTAATAATTGTTGGTGATATGGTTCAAAATCGTTGTCAGTAGGCATAAATTCTTTCACTCTTTATAGTCTCCAGCAGCCATTAAACTGTAATGTGTCTTCATGTTACTATTGTTTCCTCTCTGACACTTCTGCTCATTACAGTTTTTTTTAATCTTTTCTCTCTCTTTTTTCTATCTTTATTTATGCACTCCATGAAGTGTGGCAACTTGAACTGTTGCACTTCTGTGCTAACTTCTATGTTGAAGATCAGTCAGTTGTTAACATTAACAGTATGCTAGATTTCAGATCATGGTGTTCAAGTTTGTAGTATTGTCTGGAACTGACCTAGTTTGTTTGTTGAGCATTGTGTGACAGGTATTAGACAATTTCAGAAGCTTAAGGTTAGTAATTAGAGAGGTGGTTAGATGTGGAAAGAAATTCGACTAGTTATGTTTGCAGTTGAAATTTATTTGTGCAACTTTGTGTAATAGACGGGGAGTATATCTCTGTCTCAACATACGTTTATTAGCCGCCCGGTGGTCTATACAAAATTCACTATTCATGTTAGGTAATAATAAGCCGTCACATATTACCCGACTATGCACGTGGTTGAAGTAGGAATGTATAATTAGCAGTTAACATTTCAACATCAGAGCAGAGTAATAAATATACAATATATTGAAATAGTTCACCTTGATCTATGTAGAAGACAATTATTTATTTTACGACTGTAAATTAATTGTCAAAGTTACTATACAGGTATTTCGGGAACCTGTCTTCAGTAGTTAGATCGCTTTGTCAAACATATGGATAATAAAGACGAAATATACTAATAATAGGGATGTGCGTTCTCTAAGAGTATGTTCCGAAAATTCAAAGGCATAAATATATTTTAGTGTCCCAGTTTTACAATGGATTATAACATGGACTGCGTCAGTCTTATCTAGTGAGCAAAGCAATTGGCGTCACGTTGAGTATTGATAACTGTTTCAAAAATTCTGCTCGAACCCCTGTGGGTGCATACTGATGAAGAGTCCCAAATAGGACGAAACAGCTGTCCAGTACTCCCAGGTTTTCCAATGGTTCTCTAACCAATGTCAGTTCATGGTGAAATCCTGTAACCAATTCTGTTTTACCCTGAATATTAGCTGCCGTGCACATGATGTTACCTAGGAGTTTCGTGTTTTTGTGGCCATTAAAACCAAAATAACTTTGACGTAAAAGGTAAGATATCTCAAGAATATTACTCCACTTTTTGTTGCTGTTTATGTCCTCCTATAATAGAGGCATATATCGAGTATAGACTTTGACTTTAAGGTTGGCTTATAAAGAAAAAAATAGGAATTTTAAAGGTCTTATTGGAGCTAAAAGTTCATTACTGTAAGTATGCTAGCTAGTAAGTAGATAAGCATCGTTCAGAATTCGTAAGTTTTTTTTCCGTAGATTGTGTTCAGCATAGTCGTTGAGATTCGTAGCTTTGTTAGTCAAACGAAGATGTAGCATTGTATTCTTTGTATTGGGTCAGCATCTGTAAGTTTATCCTGTCTCACTGAGTGATCACTGGCAATCATACTGAAACTACCTTGGTTTCCTTACTCTCGAAATTAATTTAATGACACTGAATAAGAACTCTTGTTACCCTGTTCGACTTCCATGCTGTACCAAGTCTGTGTTTAAAAAATAACTTACTCAAATGGTGTTGTTTTGTAGCGGAAATCCACAGACTTTGGTCCATATTTGGTTACAACCTATACTTTAATTATAAATTGAGTTATTCTTATTACACATACAATTAATTATTACTAGTGTAACATGGAAATCTTGGTTTATGCTTTTTTTTTAGCTCTATGTTCTTTTGTCATCAAGGCTACTCGATTTCTTTTAGGTTTATATTGTTCATAATCCACTAATTGCAATCATGTTTTACCTTGGTTTGAAGTGGTTAACCAATTCACTTTATCGATTAATCTTGTTGAGAACTAGTGTATATATATCTCAGTAGTTATATTTCAGCTTATATGTTATTTACTTACCTGCCTAAAATTCATAGAATGATGCATTTAAATTGTATAAGGCAAAGACCGCATCAATGACACAAAACACGTTTTGTTTACTGTTTTTAGAATCTATTGGATTATACTCCTTATTCAACCGATTTGACTATGAAAGATAAAATTAATTGTGCTTGCTGAAAAGGAGGTCGGAGACTACAAGGAAATACTTGATTAATTTAGCTTAGTTTTCGATGAATCCTTAAGTGACTGAAGTTACATTAACTTATAAGTGGTTGTCAACTTGTGTTCAACACAGAGTTTATAAGCGCTAGATTTCCTGATGAATATGATTAGTGGAATCTCTGCACACATCTATCTAGTAAATATGATGTCGAAATTAGCGGAGCATGTTTTGTTTGCGCACAGTGACAAGTCGATTTAATTCATTATTCAGCCGATGTAATTTTTGTTTGTTACGATAATTTTACTCTTATTTTATTTTTATCCTATTTTATTCATTTCAGGGTCGACCACTGCCTCCAGTTCGAAAGCCGTTAACGGTAAAGACAGCTCTTAAGGCATTTGGTCTGTTTTGCACACTGACAGGTGGTGGTCTTTTGGGTTATAAATTATTCATCTCTATACCTTCATACAATGGACCAACAAGGGATATGCAAAATAAGACCGTACTCATAACTCAACCATGTGGTACGTTATATATTATAAGACTGACTGTCCGTTATAAATTTTAGAAGATTTCTTATTATTTTAACAATGATGAGTAAATATTTCCATTTTTGCTTGTTTTTTTCTCTCTCGATACTTTACATTCCTGTGTTTTAATGCATGAACTTTATTCTTCTGGAGAATACAGGTGTACATCTTGAAAGTAACGTATACAAAGAACTTAAACAAAATTAAGTAAAAATATATTGATATTATTGTCACCTTAGGTTCCGAGTGGAACATGAGGCTGGCTTCAACAGCCCGTCTACAATTGTCTTATTCTCTGCTGTCCCTCTCAGGTGACCCCACGATTGTTCATAGTATCTCATCTCCTGCTGCTCCTACTATCCTGTCCATGTCAACTTCCAAGTGACGCTCTACTCATCAATTCCCATTCATGTTCCAGTCGATTTCTGGCTTGGCACGCTATGTCATTTAACCTCCTCCACATGTGTCTGACCCAACTCCATGTTCTACAGCATATCGGTTGAGCCATAGGTTCTTGGTTGGTTCATTCTCGGAGTTTCTTCTTGCTAATTCTTTCTGGCTATTTAATCTTCAATATGAAGCTAGCGTAGGCGACCGACACCTGTTGGAAATGCTTTTCGTGACACACCCCAAGTTTCTGACCCATACAAAAGAACTGATTTAACATTGGTGTTGAAAATCCGAATCTTGTTCTTTATGTTGACTGAATTCTGAAGATTTCCAAACTAATTTCACAGTGATGAAGGTCTGTCTTGTCTTCGTCATCTGGACTGGTTTTGATATCCTCATTCGTTTCGACTTCTTGTAGTTGGAGCGATGCTTCCTAGGTAAGTGGATGAGGTGACAGCTCGAATTTCTTCCGTTGATAGTAATTGATGGTGGTTGTTGTTAGTTGGTTATTTTCATCACTTCCATCTTGTCTATGTTCACGTGAAGTCCTGTCGTTGCTGCTTCTTCTGCCAGTTTTCCGATTTTTGCCTGTAATTCTTCGAGTGTGTGTGTGTGTGTGTGTGTGACACCAGACATAAATCATCCGCGAATTCCAGATCTTCTAGAGTCTTCTTATCGGTGGTCCAACGTATTCCTGTCTCCTCTGACCCCACAGTGTTCCGCATGATCCAGTCCAACACAATTAGGAATATCATCGCTGATAGTAGGTAAACAAGCCTGTCTTACTCCTGTTTTCACTTCGAAGGTGGAGATTAAATGGTGCATAGGTTGAATAAAGCTGTGGAAACCTTTACAAGGTTTAAGCCAAAACGTGGGTGTATTTGTCATATCATAATATCTTCATCCATCGACAGATTCTAGAGGATTGGCTTACTTACCGCCGTCGAACACTTTTCATTTTTGTTTACGTGAAGGTAGCATTTAAGTTGAGGAACTGAGAAATGCTGTGGCAGTATGTAGCCGTGTAGAGAGTGCAGAGAATGTGTGTTGTACTAACTAAAGCAGTCTACTTGAACTCATTTAGCCGACTGACTGTTTGTGAAGGCTTGTCATTTTAAATAATGACAAGAGGTGTCCGTTAGGGATGCCCAATACGATGTGATCGACTCCATAATTTCAGAGTTGACTTATCAGGGAAAACATCTCGTTAGTTTGAAAATTTGAACGTGTTACAGTCATTCTATGAGAAGGCTCTGATTAGATGCCTATTATTCTGGATACCTTGAGGAGAAATCTTGGAATATTTGACATGCGATTTGCTTCTGTCAAGAGTAAGATGATTCTTCGCTACTGGTATATACCTACTCCTAGTATAAAGATAGGCGGGAAATCACTTGACCGTGTTGACTACTTCACTCATTTTGAATGTTGCATCCTCCTTAATGGACTGATTTGCTGACGAAATCTCGTCTTGGGTAAAATAAACTGGTTTTTGCGTCGACCAACTTGCTTCATCTTTTGTGCCGCCATGATATTCAGCTATCAATAATAAGACATGCCTGCTGGGCAACAGTTCTCGTGTTTTTTTTGTACACCTGACTACCAATTCCTTATTGTGTATGGACGTTATAAGCTTCAGCATGGGATTTAGGATGTGGTTTTAAGAGATTACTTATTGTGTTCGATGAATGCCTATCGTCGGCGTGCGATGCAGAAGCTGAGGGTAGTTTAGTTTTGTTAGCAGCGGGGATACGTGGGGCAAGGGAAAATATTTTAGAACGAACCGAGGGAAATGAATAGCGCTGAGACTAAACTTAATTGCAGAAATAAGTGTGTCAGCTGCTGTTAACATCTCGGTAGCTAACACCTTACTGTGTTTGAAGCATAAAGTTACAAATAGAAAGGATTGCTTAAATTTTGGTTGTTTACACACAAGTTGTTCATGAATGTTGGAGTTTGTTTCTCAATATCAAGATCATACTACAATCTTTTTAAGTGTACAATTTTTATCGCCAACTTTTACATTTCTTTTTCCTATGAGTAACAAGGCAGTGTACTGTTAGCATAGCTCTTTCCACCAGTAGAACCGTTTCATCATCAGATAACAACTATAGTGCAAGCTACTTGGACTCTGATAGTAATTTTTTCAGTTTCACTCGTATAAAACTGACCACTATAGAAACAATTGTTTCAATCAGTGTAGCATTTAGCATGATCGTGACAAGCAACCCCTATCCCCAACTCAAGTTACAGACGTTAATCATAGGAAACAAATTACTAAATTTCATGTGTGTAGTATTCACTACTGCAATTGATAGTGTTCTCTGAGCTCCTTGGTTTAATTGCGGAACTTTCATCGTCTTTCTGGACGACATCTTCAGCGCAGTATTTAGGATAGAGTGAAATGATTTAAATTTCTTCATGAGTCTCCCGGTAACCATCTTTAGATATTTATTGGCCGTTTTCTATTGATTGGGATTTTAAACTTTCTGATCACCTGATTTACTTCTTATTAGTTGGTATATTTCATCTATATTAACGTGTTTATTAATTGCGTTTTCATTTGAGTACCAGGCTTCTAGGAATTCTCTGGCACACTTGGTGTTTCCTCTGTTTAAGAAGTAAATCAGGTGATCAGAAAGTTTAAAATCCCAATCAACAGAAAACGGTCAATAAATATCTAAAGATGGTTACCGGGAGACTCATGAAGAAATTTAAATCATTTCACTCTATCCTAAATACTGCGCTGAAGATGTCGTCCAGAAAGACGATGAAAGCTCCGCAATTAAACCAAGGAGCTCAGAGAACACTATCAATTCCAGATCATCCACCTGAGTTACAAATCTTTTCTATTATTTCAGTATTCACTACTCTCAGTGATCGGGTAAGAAGCTTATGACACCGAAACTTATTCAATATTTAGATCCGAGACATTAATTTTAACTGACGTCCTCTTCTTGGACAACAACTATTGTGGAACTTTAATGGTTTCTTGTAAACTGTTCGTTGGTATCTGTTCCGTTTAGGAATTTTATTCCATTATGCATAAGATTTTATTTTGATAAATCACACAGTGTTGATGACGTTTCGAGCACAAACTATTGGTCATAATCATATCACATATAAACTCACTAGTAGAGGGAATAAAATTCACATTTGAATCGGAAAGTGAACAAGGAGAATTAGCTATGTTATATTGTAAAGTAAAACGAATAGAAGAAGGTAAACTACACATTAGCGTTTATAAACAACCAATGCATTCTAATGGATATTTAGACTTTAATTCATCTCATCCTTTAACTGTTAAGGCAGGCTTAGTTAAGTGTCTAACAAACTGGTTGGCGTTAAATAACTATCCTATAAAATTCATTAGAAAGATAGAAAAAGGCCAAAAGCAAAATAAAATTAATTGTGAAACTAGTAATGATAACATAAATAAGAGAGAATATAAGTCATCTACTGTTATACCATATAAGGAGGGGATATCTGAGAACCTACGTAGGATTCTAAATGAAGCAGGAATTAGGGTAGCACTCAAACCTACAAACTCACTCAGGTAGGAAAAGCTGTGTAGGCTAAAGGACCCAATGGACCCATTTAGCCATAATAATATAATTTACAAAATACCCTGGAATGACTGTGAGTTAGGTCAACTACATAGGCCAAACTAGTAGATCTGGTGTAGTCAGACTGCCCGTCAGAACATAAGAATTTAGCTATGGTTAAATTGGCTGAACCCGCTAAGATAAGTAATTTAGAAAAAAGCTCAGCAATTGCACTTCACGCATTAACACACACAATTCTAAAAAGTAATCTAGGCAGGTGGAGAGACAGGTTGATTACTGAATCCTGGCTCATCGAGTCTACACCCAACACACGCAACAGAAATGACTCAATGCAAATACCAGAAATATGGAAGATTTTATTACCGCTGGTCAAATCAGAAGAGGATAATAAATAATCTTAAATTTCCATTTCAATTCAAACATCACAACATACTAACCAGTTACTTATTATGGCTATATAAACAGTCGTCTTATTTTTCCCATCTGATTTTAATTGATTAATAACACTGATATTATTGCCACCAGTCATATCAGGAGGAGGATAGTAAATAAAATTCTGTTTCAATTCGAACACACCACAACATTCTAACAAGTAACGTCTTATTTCCCGTCTGATTTTAATTGATCAATAACTCTCGTATTATTATTTCTGAATGTACATTATCTCATATTGATTTTTATTCATTTAATACTACCGTACAACACTATGTGATTTATCAAAATAAAATCTTATCCATAATGGAATTATGTTCTACCACAGTCCCCAAGTTTTATGCTTATATCAATAAGAATTTTATTGTATTATTTTATGAAGTCATCATTCGATATCTTCATGTGGATAGCACTGTTTAGTTCATTTCCTTATATTTTTAAGTATCCCGACCAACAGTGTAATCTGTGCGCTCAAACCTACTTGGTTTTCGCTTGAGCTTATTTTGCTTCGGTTGATGGTTAATGATTGAATGGTGCCATTTGTACTCATTTTAATATCTATCGCTATCGCAGTTTTGTGGTGCGTATTCGTTGCTTTGCCTGCTTAAACAGTTACCATTCTTTTTATGACTTAGAAAAGTGATATTTGTCATTTCGAGCAAAATGCAAATATTATTCGGTCGCTTAATCGTCTGTGAATCAAAATATGCTTAAATCAAGAATTATATATATATATATATATATATATGTATATATATAATTTGAATTGTCTTTTTCTAATCTACTTATTACTTACCTATATAATTTAAAATATATAGCGAAAATGTCACGAGAGCTTCTACATGATTTAGCGAAGCGCGGTGCACATCTTATTCTAGCGCATAATCAAGTCGATCAATGCGAAGAAATAAGAGAACGCCTAATACGTAAATACAGTGTCAAGTCAGATTCAATTGAATGTCGACGTCTTGAAATTGACAGTTTGAGATCTGTTCGTCGGTTGGCCGCTAGTGTTCTGGCTGATTTCCAAAGTTTGGATTGTGCGATTTTACAGTCTCCATCATGTGTTACAAGTATTATTGCTGGTAAAAGACGATTCACACATGATGGATTTGAGTATGAATTAGGTGCTAATTATTTCGCGACCTATTTATTAAGTCGACTTTTAATCGATAGACTGAATGCAAGCGATGGTCGTCTTATTTTTGTGATTGATACACAAGCTGCTGACATCGCTCAAGAATCAGCTGTATGCATACCCGGTACATCTGAGGTTACCATTCCTCTGGAAAATTTAAATTGGGAAAATGATGAAGCCTATACACCGAAAAATAGTTTTCAACGGTCACAGTGGTTCTTGTCAATGTTTGCAGAGTGAGTTTATAACGCCTACACATATTTTCCTTGCTTGAATAAAGTTATATTTTGATTTCGCTAATCGCTGCTTTTATTTTTATAGATTTATTTTCTTATTGTTTTCCTTCTTTTCTTTGCTTCACGTTCCCCAGTGGAACATAGAGCTTCGAGCTAGAGGTTTGAAGTTTCTGTAGCAGTGTTTATTTTACAGGATGGGGTTACTAACCTCATGCCCAACCTTTCCTCTTTACCATTGGTATTTCTGGTTTAGTGAGGTAAAGGAGTGCGTCGGCCGGGGATCGAACCCCGGACCATGTGCATGGTTGGCGAGCGTCCTAACCGCTATGCCACCGACGCACTTCTCTTTAGTAAAGATAAATTTTCCATAACTTCTATCGTCCGAACCACACACTATAGCCACAGACACTCAATACAGGCTGATTAGTTGTGACAACCGTGCATGTGACTTCCAAATACTGAATGACATTCAATGTATTACCAGCTTGACCACGTACATAGTCAGAATTCAGCTGGTTTAAGCGGAATTAGCAATCTGAACTCAGTCAAAGCTGATACACCTATAACGAGCCGGCTATTAGGAAAGTGAAACAGTCGTCCTTGGTGAACAACACATTTGTCTAGATGCCAGACACTACTCGATGATGTGACTCCAAAAAAATATATATCCTCAAAACAAGCCCTAAATAGCATTCTGATTTTCTGCAACATTCAAGTACTCTTTCTCCACAGAGTCTAAGTTGTTTTTAGGTGCTTAGTATTGTATCATCGTAACCTTCCTTCCATCGGAGTTGAATCTCACTAGCATCATCCTGGAGGAGATTGGTTCCCACTACATGGGAGCATTCCGTGTTGTTCACAACATCATGATGACCACATCAGTGTCCACAATTTCCTTGTGTGTGTGTGTGTGTGTGTTTGTGAGTATGTGACAGAAATAGGTTACAGACTTGCCAGTTATAAATCTGGAGTTTCCACTTCGATATCGTCTGATATCACAGATTCCAGACACTTCTACACCATATCTTCTCGTCTAGTCTGAAATCTGGACACGGTTTCAACTATGGTAAATTAGTTTTCAGGGATATCTTGTAGAAAAAGATGCTCTTTTGACATCTTTCAATGAGTGGGTCTCCAAATCTTTGTAAGGCTTCATATGGATATGCCATATTAATCAAGTTAACTGGCTTTAATCACATGAATTCTGTCACTTTTGGCAGTGAGAGGGTGCATCGTTCCTAGCTGCTTTTACACGTGAACTTTCAAGCTACCTACCGTCTCCTATTCGTCCATCTCTACTTCTGCACTGCAATCACCACCTTAAATTATTACGCCTGAATGTTTGGTCGTCTACATTGGACTAGACGTTTTCTAGTCTAGTGGGACTGGTTAATGTTCTCGTCCAAAGCACAATTAGACGAAAAATACAAAACAACATGGACGTGTATCACCATTGTTCACAGTCACATTTAATCCGAAAGCATACACACAATTGCTGTATGGTATTCAGTAGAGCAATTGACTTTTTGTCGTGCTGCACAATTTACACATACTCTCTAGAATTTCTGGGAATCGACTGTCGAGTATAAGATCACCGCTTCTTCTGTGAAATGTTAGCTGAGTGGCTAAAGTCGTGCATATTTATCCGACTACCGTTGTCATTGTAACATTGTTTATGTGAGGTTGAATCAACGAATACACTAGTTGGTTAGGTAATTGGTCGAGGTCGAGGTCGTGGCATTAACGACCACTGCCTATGGTGGCCTAAACATGTATTTCACAGACTTACTCTCTCTCTCTCTCTCTCCACCTCAAAGTAGTGGTATTTCAGAAGTAGCTCGATGAATTTCGAAGAATGGGGCATGTAATCTGACAAAGTTGTATTAGACTAGGAAGCTGTTTGTATGAGTCGTGTTTGGAAGTTCCGAAGTGCATGGTTAGACTGTGAGACCACAGGAAACTGTGTCCAGAGAATGTAGATGACTTGGGTCAGGATTTGTAGCAGTGACACAAATTAATACACTCATTGTTTTCTCGTCATCATTGCAGTATCCTGTTTCTTCATGTTTTACCTCTCAAAATTCTACGACCTTCAAAAATACTATTTGTCCTTCTTCATCTCTATTCATTATCTTCTAACTGATGTGTGACTGTGAGATGTGGGATGACAAATTGGGACGCTAAGATTAAATAAATACAAGGTCTTCTGGACGTGACCTGGGTTTTGTGAGCTCGCTGTTCCTAATCTTCAGTTTAACTTCTACCCAAGGACTTTCCACAACATGTTAACAAACCGATTCCTCTGTGGTTACTGCAGAAAGCTTCATCTCCTAAACTATAAACTGGGACTGTAGACTGTCTAGACAAGCGTGATGGAATTCCCTCTGATTCCCATAAACTAACAAGTAACTCAATAATACTTTTACACTATCCTCAAAAGCTTCTGTTCTCCATATATATAGTGTCATGGAGCCCCTCCTTATTTCAGATATGAGACTGCCTTGGTAACTTTCTGGGATAATGAGGGGACGGACATTCATTTCTAATATTCATCAGGTAAATGGCTATATGGATGGTACACATGCATCTTGAACACAAGACATCCAGACATGCTCCCGAACAACTTGTTATTCAGTTTTGTTACCCGGTTCAAATGATTCGAATGGTAATGTGATTTAAAAGTCTATCTCTGACTTGAATCGTTACTAGTGGTTAGTGAGAATGGGAAGTATTTCAGCTAGACTTAGTGTCTTTTCCACTCCTGTCTCACTTTTCCATCATCTACTTCCTGGAAACTGTTTTTTTGACGTATGTGTAATGGATTTGTGTATCGTCTTGTATGGTTTACTGTGGTTGTTTGTGAATGTGGTGTGTTATTTGTCATTGTCTGTTTTCGTCTTGAAGATTGTGGCTTTCGCATTCGCTACCGTTTTTGTTCTTGTTTTCACCTGTTATCTTCACAACTGTTTGATGTTTTATTCTCTTTTACATTTTAGTGAGCTTGCACGCCGTAATTCAACGAAGGGTCCACCCTCAATTTTAGTCTCAAATCCTCGTATTTCTCGTAATGCACCTCCGGCAATGGATACGAATGCTGGACCTTTTCGGAGGGTTTTTTACAAGATAGGTGATTTTTCGCGGGTCTGGTCGGTCGAAAAGCATCTAGTACAGTTACCTTTTGTGCAACAGCTAGTCCCTCTGTAGTTGATCTGACGGGCGAGGGAAGTCAAAAGGATGGCTTAAATGTTGTCCGTGCTCCAGTGTATCAAGATTTAAGACTGGTAATACCTTCGAAGCAGAACGATGCAACTGTTGAGAAAAGACGTAATGCCTCTCAGATTTTATGGGATGTGACAGAAAAATGGACTCGTTTAGATACTCACCCAACTGCTCTGCCACTCCCTAAGAAGAATGTTAAGGAAGTAACTAAAATACATACTATTCAGTCTGCTTCAGCGGTTCATGTATAATTGGTATTTCAATGGGAAAAGCTTATATATTCCTATAAAACAAGAATTTGAGACGAATTCACTTAAACATTACAATTAATCGTACTTAGAACCTGATTAAAAGTACAGATGTATATATTTTAATTACAAAAGTTTTATATATATATATATATATAACCTAATGTTGTCATGTTTAGATCGGTAACAGGTTTTAGTTTTACTTTGAAAACAATTTCAGATACAAAGATGATTGTAGGGGAAGACCTCCTACATGAAAAGAACCCTTTGTCTCTCTCAGAAGCAATAAGAAGACGGTAACCACGGAGATTTAAGCAGCAGGAGAAGGGTAGACTGCTGTGGAACATTTTTATGTATTTCAGTTGGTCTGCATATCTTCTCAGACTCCCACTGGCAACAGGACTAAACTAACCTCAACTTTCTGTTGTACAACTCAAATTGACGATAAGGGTTTATGCAGTAGCTTAAGTGATTCCTTGAAACCACGACTTCAGTCGTTTAATTCACTTTTCAATGAGTGTAGATCGTGTTAAGTTGGTCTTATGGTCATGGTAGCTGAAAATATCGGATCTTCTGAGAAGTGGTGTTTAATTATTATACAAACACTCGGGTTTCAAACACACTGGTTCACCTGACCAAGCTAAGAAAGCTACATCTTTGAACTTGTGAGTGTCTTTGTGTTCAATAGTTAATCCTCCTTGGCACTGCAGATTCGTGCGCAGCAGTAAATTTAACGTTAGAAAACTTACCAACTGAATTTTATTGTATAATCAGTTTAGCGTTACTTGAGAACGACCGTGGCACACTCCGTTAGCGATTTGTATATTAAGCATATGCAGCAACTGATTTTGTTTTAAACGGTATTATTGATGGGTTCTAAGGGTACTGTGTGGTCAAATCAGCCCTACCAAACATTCAGATGTGATTAGAATGCTCAAGGAATAGAGTAATTTTCAGCTTAATCATTAATATTTTTTATTTGTCCCTAGTGGAATACAAGACTTTGGCCACATAACTCCATTGAAGTCTTTTTCTCTCCAACACCTTCAGCTGACCCAACGATCACCCACAAACTTTCATTTCTCCTTTCACATCCTCCTTATCACACACACCCCCAGATGTCTAAACCGCTGCTTAGCAATTGGGTCCAATTCCAGCACCTGGAGTGTAATACCACTTGAAGATCTCAGCGTATGTGGAGCTAGCTGCATTGGGCGTACAATCTAGCAAGTTCCTCATCGGATTTCCGAACATCATTTTGCATAGTTAAGAAAGGGACAAACAATATCTATTTGTAGCTCTGTTTTAGCACAACTTGTAGATAGCGAGAATAAAGTTGATTTTAATCGAGTGCCTAAAGTTATTTATCGGATTCTAACCAATACTAAGGTAGCTTCATATGTTCATCTTCCACATATACAACTAAGGCAATCGAACTCCGGTGGGGCGAAACAGCTGTCCAGTACTCCTAGGATTTCCCCGACCGATGTCAGCTCATGTTGAAATCCTCCAACCAATCAAAGAAACTCCATACAAAGTAGTACTTGAAAATTGGTCTGATGCTCTGTAGCAACTGGTCCTATTCAGGAAGTTACCTGGGGTTTAGTAGGAAGCCGTGACCAGTAGGGTATAGCACAGATCAAAGGTTAGAATAGTTACTCATTGAATAAATTACTAAGTGGTCACACTATGCCGTAAATTGGCAGAAGTTAGAACTCATGGGCCATTGGATGTAGTCTCAGTGGCTTAGTGGTCTGTGAGCTCGCCTTGTAACTGGAAGGTACTGGGTTGGAACCCCCTGTGGTGGGTGTGTACTGATGAAGAGTCCAAAACTAGGATAGAGCAGCTTTCCAGTACTTACCTATTTTTTAATTACCCTTATTTATCCAAAATTATGAATCGTATATTATATATATTACAGTACAGCGATAGATGAGGATCTATTTCAAAAGTAAATATTTCTTCACTCGTTCCTTTCGTCTTCTAGACTTATATTCATCACTTTAATAGGTTGTCGGCTGAGATTTTATCCGAAAGAATTCCTTCCTTAGCTTTTCCAGGCTGTCATATGATTTCCTGTATTCAGTGAAGACAAGCGTTAATAAAAGTCTGCACTAGCTTGTTGAAGATGCTTTTGGCTGCATAGGCGCAAAGTATTGCATCATTGTAACCTCCCGTCCGTCGGAGTTGAATCTCACTAGCATCATCCTGGAGGAGATTGGTTCCCACTACATGGGAGCATTCCGTGTTGTTCACAACATCATCATGACCACCTAATCCTCAATGTGCCCGCGGTTTTCTTGTATGTGTGTGTGTGTGTTTGTGAGTGATATGTATCCACATATATATATTTATGTGTGTGTGTGCATGTTGGTCTCTCTTTCTGTTTGCTCGGTTAGTCTGTGACCACTTCACTTGTATGGACTTGTCTCCTTTAATAATGTGTATTCTCCTTATATTATATTATATATAATATGAGTGTTTGTTGACAGTCCGTTGCTTGGTGACATATATCCATATATGTTTGTTGGCATGTCTGCTATATTTGCTATGTATAATTGGATCGACACTCCATCATAATTAGCCATTCATGTTAAGACTGTCTAATGATTTTTCCCACGCTTTGTCTGAATTATTCATATATATTCGCATTCACAATTTGTGTGAACTACTTTACTTACTTACCACTTTGGTGTGAGACCATTTATTTTCGTCTCCTTGTGTTTGGACAATAGAAGTATCATCGCAAACCTAGTGGTCTTCTGATTTCCGCCTTCTCGCGTCAGGACTATTGGTTTCTCGACCAGTCCATAATAATAATTTAGCGACGAGTACATAACAATTCGGCGACGGGGAAACTAGTACATAACAGTGAGTATGTGACAGAAATAGGTTACAGACTTGCCAGTTATAAATCTGGAGTTTCCACTTCAATATCATCTGATATCACAGATTCCAGACACTTCTACACCATATCTTCTCGTCTAGTCTGAAATCTGGACTGTCTTTCCGGCGCCAAGAATGACGCGAACATTCCATGGCCCCACAATAAGAATAATGCTGGATTTATTTCCAGTAGTTCAACAGAACATCAGAATATAGCAGCACCTTTAAACATAAATTATACTCGAAAATGCATCCTAACAACCTGAGGAAACAGAAATTCTAAGGAGGTTTAAGTGAAACTTAAAAAAGATACGACATGTTTACTAATACGTATAAGCAGTGTAGGCAGAAAAGTATCTGCAAATTGGTGGCGGTGAGGAATAACAGTAACAGTGTACAGTAATTCCAGAGGAACTTCAGAAAAAAAGGTCAGCAAATCTAGCACCACAGATCATCTGTTATTCACCCACTGACGAGACATAATAAGCGTTATTTCTAACACACTGCAGTAATCCTCTGTTTAATTCTGTGCCAGCCACAACTTTAATGGGGTACTGAAATAGAATTCTCTGACAATAGAGAAGTTGACACAATTATAAGCAAGTGAACAACCACTTGATTACGCATAGAATCATGAAGCCAGAAAAGTTGTTTACTAAGCTCCATTCATTACAGCGAGGTAATTTGGATAGTTCATTAATTTCAATCAAATCGTAAATTTGAAACAGAAATCCAACCAAGAGTGTATATATCACCCAAAATGATGTAACAAAATTGTACTCAGTAATATTAAAGTCACGTGAAGAAAACTCATGGAATTCACCCACACGTACCAATGGTCATTCAATAAACTCAACAATTACAGTGGGAGAAAAATGAAAAAGCTACAGGAGATTCTTATACAAAATTCGTGAAACATATCGGAAAAACCACAGTCAAGTTTCCAAGACAGTCAACAACAGTGAGCTTCAGATTTACCAACATAGTAAAACTACGAATGCAAGGAATCCTGCAGAGACAGCAATGTCCCAACTCGTAGTCATGGCTCAAACAGGCTGATTCTAATAGGTATGTAGTTGATCTTCCAAAACTGTAGGTTCTAAGGAATATCATTTACAGCAAACCCCAAATCAGTAATGTAATAAAGGGTGATCAATAATTTAGCGAGCGCATTTTTGGCTTTCAATTAACCACTAGAAATCTCATCCCTCACACTTCCATCAATGGTCAGTCATACATGTATCAACACTGATCTAATTCCCATTACTTCAAACGATTCATCCACGGAAGTGCGAACGAGTGCTATCACAAGTCATCATCAATTCGATATAAGTGTTTCACACTTCTTTGTTCTCAATCATACACTGTAGCTACAGACACTCATCATCAGCGTAAAATAAGAAGGTTGTGATTTATAACAGAGCATGATGATATAGACAGCATACTCAATGCTTGAAAAGTCTACCTCTAGATAGCAGGTCTCCACCACCATTGCACACATAATAAAAACAGTTTCCAGGAAGTAGATGATGGAAAAGTGAGACAGGAGTGGAAAAGACACTAAGTCTAGCTGAAATACTTCCCATTCTCACTAACCACTAGTAACGATTCAAGTCAGCGATAGTCTTTTAAATCACATTACCATTCGAATCATTTGAACCGGGTAACAAAACTGAATAACAAGTTGTTCGGGAGCATGTCTGGATATCTTGTGTTCAAGATGCATGTGTACCATCCATATAGCCACTTACCTGATGAATATTAGAAATGAATGTCCGTCCCCTCATTATCCCAGAAAGTTACCAAGGCAGTCTCATATCTGAAATAAGGAGGGGCTCCATGACACTATATATATGGAGAACAGAAGCTTTTGAGGATAGTGTAAAAGTATTATTGAGTTACTTGTTAGTTTATGGGAATCAGAGGGAATTCCATCACGCTTGTCTAGACAGTCTACAGTCCCAGTTTATAGTTTAGGAGATGAAGCTTTCTGCAGTAACCACAGAGGAATCGGTTTGTTAACATGTTGTGGAAGGTCCTTGGGTAGAAGTTAAACTGAAGATTAGGAACAGCGAGCTCACAAAACCCAGGTCACGTCCAGAAGACCTTGTATTTAT